GCAAGCAGATTTTGACTTCAAATTTTGGGGTAAAAAAGTCCGTCTTATACACCGAAGAATACCGTATGTTGTTCTGTTAACGAGAGTAGCTTGTCAGGTAATCGGGACGGTTTGGGTAAAATCTATACCTTCAGAAACTCATTTATTTTTGTAGTATAATTGTCAATAACTTCTGATCAAAACGAGCTACCTACACATATCAGAACTAAAAATTAAACCAGTAAATAATATACTATATTTAATATGCCGGTCTTGATAGGAATACACAATGCCATAAAGACAAATTTATTGTGATTAAGATGTATTAATTCATCTGTTTGGTACACCTCACTGTTATTATGCCCCTCAGTGGCACAGCGGTATGTCTACGGACTTACAACGCTAGAATCCGGGTTTCGATACCCGTGGTGGGCAGAGCACAGATAGCCCATTGTGTAGCTTTGTGCTTAAACTACAAACTACAAACACTGTTATTAATATTTTCGGTCGCAATCACAACATTACACGATCGTCAGCAAGCTGGAAAGATTTAGGTTTGTCTATATACTAGACTAACACTACATAATAATATATATATTTGTTTGTTGTTAAGCATAAAGCTACACATAAAGGCTATCTATGCTGTTCTCACTATGGGTATCGAAACCCGCTTGTTAGTGTTATAAGCCTTCATACTTTCCGCTGTGTCACTAGGGCATAATATATATAGATATACATAATAGGTTAATTAAATATATATATATTAAACATGTTAAAAAAAATTAACATTTTAAGAGAAGAATGGAACATGCCTTACAACTTACGTTAAAGTGCTTGTATTTGCTTTATGCAATCTCGTGATTCCCCACCCCTTATAAAACTTAGTACAATACTTTCCAAAACCTTCTAGAAACTAACGAACGCTAAACATCTGATAAAGATTTCTACAACACGTGTTACTGTCCAACTATTGAGTGGGAAATTTGTATGTACACCCCCATGGACCTAATGAACCTCCATACCAATTTTTATGAAGATCCATCCACACCCTGCGAAGTAATTACATGGACAGACAGCACTATTACATTTATGTAGACTAAAAATATCAGAGTAATAATAAGACCTGAACAATAAAGTAACTACAATAGTAACTATAACAATTAATTTTTTTACAGATACTAATGTAATTTAAGTAATGACCTAATATAGGCCTGTAACTGTTATACAGCATGCAATAACTAACAAGACGTAAAAACCAACGGTGACCGCCATACTGAAGTTGTTCATTATTACATTAAACAAAAATTGAAGAATTGAAAGTGTAGGTGTGATAGTTTTGAAAAGGTTGTGACAACATCGATTTATATAAGAGTATTATAACTTTTTATTATTTGCAAACAGTTAATTCTTGTGTTATTACTTTATATGAATGTTAATGAATTTATCCCTTAAAAAAAAGAAGAAAAAATACAAGGACAGAATTTGAGATTTAGTTTCAAACGTTCAACTGTATATTTTATTTGTTGGTGTATGCACTAAGTTGAAATAAAACAAAAAAACTATTATGTTATGGAAAATTAATACATCATTTGCCCCAATTGTAGTGAAAACTTCAGGCAGTTCAGTAAGGCTTATAATTGCTTGGACCTATGTTTATATCATGCATCTCCAGAGTGAGGCCACACTGTTATCAAGAGATGGTACAGATATTTGTACAAGTTAGAATAAGTTGGAGGTTTACCTCCCGTGATAATGTATAATAGGAGTGATCATTGAGGTAGATAATATAGGATTGTAAGATATCACATTTTGAACTATTTTTCCAACTTAGTGTGATAAATGATTATTCTAATGCATAGAAAAGTGGTGGTCCAGTTTTTCTTTTCTTTTTTTTTCATTATCTTACTGTTTCCACAATAACCCTATTATTTCCATAAATAGCTTTTTTTTGACGTGTAAGAAAAGCAAGTTCATTTTATTCTTAATTATTTGTTTAGCAAGCATAAATACATTGATATGTTTATAATCTTATTGCAAAATACAATATAACTTGCATAATCTACTCATTTTATGGCACTATTTTGCTCTAATTTTTGAGCAAAATAGATTTATTTTGACATACTTTTAAAAAATTAAAGACCTGTTTTTGCCCTAATTTTTCATCATATTGTTCTGGGAGGCTAGCATAAAGAAATATGCTTTCAGCTCCGGCAGCTGAAAGTCAGACAACAGAACTTAAGAAACTAACTAGTTGAGTAAAGAAACACATTTTATTATGAGTAACAATATGGATTTATTTGTTTGGTTTGCTTTGCTGTCTGAATTAATTTTATTCCCTGATTAACATTTCCTGAATTTTCATTTATATATATTTCATGAAATGCTTTAGAATTTCATGTGTGAAGTTAAGATGTAGACTAGTGGTCAGCAGGACATTGCAACCACAATAACTCAGTTGGAATAATACCAGTCTGTTGCTCCTAGATTCACATCTTAGTGAAAGCTGCTCATTTCATTTGTTTGTTTGTAGTTAAGCACAAAGCCACACAAAGGGCTATCTGTGCTCTGCCCACCACGGGTATCGAAACCCAGTTTCTAGCGTTAGCTCATTTCATATATATTATAATTGACTTAGAATATATTGACTATTTTCCTGGATTTATGTAACAAAAACTTTGTGTAAGAGCAAGACATGTTATTCCAATGCAATAAAATTAATCCTGTTTTTCAGATAATGCACAGTGTAAAAATTGTTTTTTTATATTAAAAAATATTTTTACATTAAGTAGATCTTAGATCTGTCAAGTTAAGAAATATTTTTGGAAAAATACATTTTCTATAATAGGGAATAGAAGACCTTTAAAACATTTATATCTATTTTAATTGCTCTCTTGTATATAGACTCAGGCCTAAAAGCTTTATTTATTATACTTAAGTTTGACAGTTCATTGATAAATTACTTTATATTTGCAATTTCTTGTTGATTGCTATTGTTATAGATTCTCATGTGATCATTTTTTAAATTAAATTCAGTTATATATTCTCAGTTCTTGTATTTCACTTGATGATGCCAGGTATACCTGGTGAAACGTTGAGAATAAGATAAACAAAAGTTTTGCTCTATACAACTGATAAAAACTTGTGTGAATTTAAAAAAATATAGTTCTTTCTAAAATTAATTCATATCACTGTTTTACAGACATTATTGTTTTGTATATACGAGCATAAATTACCTGTTTAAAAGAAGTTGACTCAGTAGCAAATCTAAGTGCTTGTCACACTAAAAATTGGGTTTTGATACCTGTAGTAGGCACAGCACATATTAGCCCATTTTGTAGCTTTATGCTTAACAACAAAGAAATATTTAAAAGAAGTAGCGTGTTTAATATATTTTAATGTTTTGGGCTTAATAATATAAAAGCTTGCATTGGAATGGTCATTTATATCACAGTAACCGTAATTATTGGAAGATTCACAATTGTTCTGGTTCTTTAACATTCCTCTCTGTCTGTTACGCGTAGATGGAATCACAGAATCAGACAATCAAAGTAGAACAGTCTCAGTCTGACCGGAGCAAGCAGCCTTTTCATCCAGTTCAGTAAGTTTATTTTTTTCCTGTATGTTAAATCGACTGAAATAGAAGTTTGTTTTTACTTCATATGCACCTATTGACACAGACTGTATTGGCAAATAAAACACTGCACTGAGCAGAATTATGCATTTGAATTTCGGGAAAAATGTACTGAGAGTCTTATATGTATTACATAGTTGTGTTAAAAGGCAAAGTGTCTTTATATATCAATATTCAAACAAAGTTGAAAGACTAAACATTTGAAAAATAATTTGTTTCATTACATGTCAGTGAATTGTGTTAGATGCTGTAGAGAGTATTCAGTAATCTTGATTCCTAGCGTAATGAATGAAGAGATGGTAGAGTCATATTGATAGGTGACAGAACTCTGACTCTTTGAGTCAAACGTTTGCATGTGATTAAGTTTCCTCTTTGAATTACAGCCAAGAGGAAAACAGTATCCAAGCATAATTGTATACATTTATAACATTTAATTTAATTCTTGTTTCGAACATTTCAGCATAATAAAACACTATATGTAATATTGCTGATTGGGTGAGTTTAAAACTTGTATCTGGTTTTCAGCTATTACAGTACTGTTAAGCCTTGCAATGATCTCTTGTGTAGTAAGTATGCACATGAAGGGGTTTTTCTTTCCACAGGGCAGGGGCAAGCTTTCTAAAATCAATTCTCCACCCACCCACCCACAAAATTTTAGAAATACCACAACTTTAGGTGTATTTGTAAACATAATTTGGGAAATACAACACATCAGTACTTGAAAGCTCATGTCACATCAGGCACCAAATAAAAGTAGCTTCCCCCTCACTCAGAAAAAAATTATAAGATAAACCACAGCACATACATAACTGATCTCACTTTTTTCAGTAGCACAATGTTGGTATCCAGAATGTGAATTTTTTAAGTTTTTCTGTGTTTCTTTCTTGTGACATCTAACAAATGCTTTTTATTCCAGACTCGAGATTATACCCGACCAAGTTACCAAAACGACTATTGGAAGACTTCATTTCAGTGAGACCACATCCAACAACATGCGTAAAAAGGGCAAACCCAACCCTGATCAACGCTATTTTTACCTTGTTGTGAGTATTTGTGCTCACGTTGGAGATCAGGCCTTCCCTGTTGTGTGCTACTCATCTGAGAAAATTATTGTGAGGGTAAGGATTTAGATAAAATCCAATTTTCATTCCAAAAAAAACAACAATGCAGTCCTTCTAATAATATATATTTGTGGATGAAATGAATGCTGCTCTTCTATTTGTCAGTTATTCAGATCCTACCAACACATTTTATTTAAGGTTGTTACTATATAATAAACTTGGAAATAAATTGTACCTGATGATGACAAAACCTTGTCGAAACGTTGTACATTCGTTTTTCTTCATTACCCATTCGAGCCGTCTACAAGCATTATAAGTAATTAACAAATTTACTTAAATCTGGAACGACCTCTTAGTTATTTCTGTTTCAAAATGTGTGCCTTTATTTTTTGTAGTCTGTCAAGACAAGAAGTTTAGGTTAATAAAGAAATTACAGTGACCATGTTAATGCCTTTTCGATGACCATGCTATAACCCTCTCAGTACTATATTAGGACAAATCAAATTTTTGGAACTTAACACCTATATATCATAGTGATGGTTCATCTTGTTGTTAAATAACTAATAAACTTGTGATATAATGTATTGTTAACAGTCATTTCTTTGTCCTTTATTGTTTTAAATTGTATAATGGAAAAAATATTTTGAATGCTTCACTTGCATCACTTGAATTTTTCTTGTTTTTACATTTCATCAAAAGTGAACTATTATGTTTTCCTAGGCATCTAATCCGGGTCAGTTTGAAAATGACGTAGAACTATCATGGCAGAAAGGACAAACACCGGATTCTATATTTCATGCTGTAAGTTCATTCCTTCTGAGGAGCTGCATTAATCATTTTATTTGTTTGTTTTTTTTCAGTTATATTTAAAGGAATATTAAATATTCTTTAAGTCTCATTTAGAATTTTTATCTCTGCTTAATTATATTTTACTAGAATTTAATGTTCATATATTTCCTCTAAAAAACGTTTTTTTTAAGGGAGAACTTTATTATTGTTAACATATACACTTCTTCTTGGTACCAAATAAATACACTATTTAAAAGTAATTTTTTAACATAATTAACCTATTATTGTGAAATTGTTAGAAACACATCCATTTTCTTTTTAGATTTATATTTTATGGAAAGAAAAATCTCACAACCTCACCTAAACATCTACACCAAAAACTAGTTGATTAAAACGTATTTCATTTTCAAACTGTTTCATGGTTTGATTGTTCTGATTTTGAGCAGTAAGAGAAATTTGTTTTGAGTTAGGAATTGCTTTTAGACGTTTATATTATAGATGTTATATCATTTATGTTTCTTTCATTTCCTAGGGGCGGGTAGGTATAAACACTGACAGGCCAGATGAACCTTTAGTTGTCCATGGAAATATGAAGATCACTGGACACATTATGCAACCTTCTGATGCCAGAGTCAAAACTAATACTACAGAGGTAGAGAGTGTGATTGCTGTATTCTTTATTGTTGTAGAGATTATCAAAATTCAAATAATTTTCTAAAAAAAAACAACTAAATATTTAAACATTAAACTCTATGTAGTGACATGTCATGAGGATGAAAATAATGAAGTTAGATAGTTGTATGATATAGCTATGTAACGTTTAAAGACAACCGGAGATCTGTTTGTCAAGATACGCTGCCCCTTCCACTAAACTAAACTATTAAAAAAAACTCAAAGCCATCCATTATCATTCAAATATTCATCAAGCCTTCCCTTAAAATCCCTGTGCTACCACCACATCTGAAGGTGACCCTATCCAGAAGTTAACTACCCTGTTAGAAAAATAAAACTGTTGTAGCTGAAGGTTATGCCTACCCTGCCAGAATTTGTGTTTATATCCTCTAGCCCTACCATTTCCACCATTAAGTACATATCAACACTATATTCAGGTCCCTCAAACTCTTTTTTTTTCCCTAGAGATAACAGTTTCAAACATTATAATCTGTCCTCATATGACAACCTTTCCATTCTAGGTATCATCATAGCAGCTCTCTTCTGAACCCCTTCCAACAATTCAACGGCCTTCTTAAGGTACTAACCCCAAGACTGAACACAGTACACCAAATGTGGCCTAACCAATGACCTATACAATGAAATTATAACCTCTTTAGACTCGTATTTACTACTTCAGTAGATACATCATAAAATCCTATTGGTCCTAGCAACAGCACACTGCTTGGATGGCTTAAGATATTGATAAACCAGAACACCAAGATCTTTTTCTTTCATTAACACTGTTAAGATCATTCCTCGTAATTCAAATTGTAATGTCTCATATGCATTACCTTGCATTTATTGTAATTAAAAGCCATCTGGCATTTATTCCACCAACTCATCAAATAATATAAATCCTTTTGTAAGGCAGCAGTGTCCTCCTCACAGCTAGCAACACATAAGACCTTAATATCAGCAGAAAATATAAGTAATTTATTGACCATTCCTTCAGTTATGTCACTGGTGTAAATCAACAAGAGCAAAACTCTTAACATCCCTGATGTACCCCATTTATGACAATAATCCAGTGTGATTAAAATCCATTTATGACAACCCTGCGCTTTCTACCATCCAGCTGCTTTTCAATCCAATGAGTCAACCTATAGGAATAATTGTTTAGCATGTGACCCCCTTATCAAATGTTTACTGGAAATCCAGATACGCCAAAGTCACACCCTTACCCTTATCTATAAGTAGTAACCTCTTAAAAGGATACCAAATGATTAGTAAGACACGATTTTACCTTAATGAAACGTCACACCCTTACCCTTATCTATAAGTAGTAACCTCTTAAAAGGATACCAAATGATTAGTAAGACACGATTTTACCTTAATGAAACCACATTGATTTAATCAACAAAATTTGAAACTTTGTTGAATGACTTTTCAAAGCATCTTTTATCAGATGTTTCAAAACTTTTCTCACCACTGGTGTAAGACTAATATGTTTATAAATATTGGGACAATTTTTTATCACCTCCCTTAGAAAGAAGAGTAATTTAGCCAACTTCCAATTCACTGGTACCTACCCACTATTCAAGGACTTACGAAAATACTAGAAGTAGCTCACATATTCAGTCCTTAACCTCTTTCGAAATCCTTGGGGAAATATTACCTGACCCAGGAGTCTTATCATTCATTAAACTTCCTAGTTCTTTCTTAACAGGCTCATAATTAATGTGATTATCTTGTTTGATTTTGTTTCCATCTAGCAACTGTTCAGGATGAAGAATATTGCTTAAATCTATTGGTAAAAATTGAAGAAAAGGTAGAATTTAATAACCTAATCATCTCATGGTCATTAGGTACGAGCATTCCTTTATCACCCTTCAAAGGCCTTACTCCCACCCTAGAGCATTCCTTTATCACCCTTCAAAGGCCTTACTCCCATCCTAACATTGGTCATTCGATACAAGCATTCCTTTATCACCCTTCAAAGGCCTTACTCCCATCCTAACATTGGTCATTCGGTACGAGCATTCCTTTATCACCCTTCAAAGGCCTTACTCCCATCCTAACATTGGTC